TCAAGCCTGTAATCCCAGCACTTTGGGAGGCCGAGGCGGGTGGATCATGAGGTCAAGAGATCGAGACCATCCTGGTCAACATAGTGAAACCCCGTCTCTACTAAAAATACAAAAAATTAGCTGGGCATGGTGGCAAGTGCCTGTAATCCCAGCTACTCAGGAGGCTGAGGCAGGAGAATTGCCTGAACCCAGGAGGCGGAGGTTGCGGTGAGCCGAGATCGCACCATTGCACTCCAGCCTGGGTAACACGAGTGAAACTCCGTCTCAAAAATAATAATAATAATAATAATCTCAGCACGGGGAAGGTCTAAGTATGGCCCTCAATCAGAAACCAGGAAGGAAAATAATAACTATTTCAAACAAAATTATCTCTGTAGCAAAAACAGCATAAAAGGTCAAGAAACAACACACTGGGAAAAGAATTGCAACGAATATCACAGACAAATAGTTAATTTCTTATTTTTAAAAAATAGCTTCTACAAATCGAAGAGAAAAATTCTAAGGTCTCAAAGGAAGAATGATCAAAGGATTTGACGAGTGGTAGAATACAGAAAAAGAATTTAAAATAGCTCCTAGACACATGGAAACATCACTCATGATAACGGAAGTATCAATTAACAAAATCATTCAGGTTGATAACAAACCATTTGGCAAGGGAAAAGCACTTCTACGCATTGCTATAAATTGGTACAACTTCTATTAAGAATAATCTGGCAGTAGTTATCAAAATTATAAACGAGTATATCCCTTTCTCTAGGAATTTGATTCTATATATATATATATTCAAACGTGTGAAATGCTACTGTACAGGTGGTTGAATTTCACTTTATTCCTAAGAGCAGAAGATTGCAAAATAGTAAATATCCACTCAAAGGGTCTAATGGATTAAATTTTGGCATATCAGCACATGGTAATACTATGAAGCCATAAAAAAGGGACATCTCTATATGAATTGATGTGGGACCATCTTTAAGATGTACTGTGTGTTAAACAAAGCAGCATGCTGAAAATGTCTACCTTATGCTTGTAAATGCAGTATCTTTGGAAGTATACCTATGGGTAACAGTGTCTGACTGCGGGGAAAGGCAAATGGGTGCCAGAGTGAAGAAAATATAGCTTTTGGTTTTTATGACTTTTAGAATCTGTACCACATAATAATTTTGATGAAAATGTTGCTGTGTGTGTTTTTACTTGTTCATAGAATGATTTTATAAATTGCTCTCTTAGTTTTCTATCAACCAATATCCTGGGATAAACCCCTCATGATCGTAATGAATAATGTTGTGTGGAGAATGGAGAGGGGTTAAATTTGAAAAATGTAGAAAATGCAAAAATAATAAATCTTTGCTATAAGGGATTTATAAGTGTTAATATTTTTATATTTGCTTCAAGTTTTTTTTAAATAAAATAAATGCAACATTGCAACTGAATTTGAATTCTTTTTTCTTCTCTTTCACATCCAATTTATCTCCCCTTCCTCCAGAGACAATAACTATCATGACTTTGGTGGGTATCCTTTCAGGCTATTTGTTAACAGTTTTACACACACACACACACACACACACTCATCAGATCACACTATTTATCATTAGTGGTAGCATAAGATGAAGTGAAGGTAGAGGACAAGGCGCTGGGAATTCCAGTTTATGAATTTAGTTTCTAAAGGTATTTAGTTTCCATGGCAACAATAGTAATTAGAGAGATTGTAAATTAGCTTTTTGGTAGCTCTAGGAAGTTTAGACAATAAAATTTGAGATTGAAAGCAAAACTATCCAGCTGAGAATATCCATGGAAAACTGGAATGCCTTAATGACAGTTTTGGACAAGTCCCTCATCCTCTAGATGCAGGGAAGATATGGCTGAGCACCAAACCCAGGGCCTGATTGTAAGGATGATAAGTTCAATCCCAATTAAATCTATACCACCAGGTCACATCTCTTACACTAAGTATTTACAGAAAGAAAAGGGAAGTGACATACAGAAACAGCTTGATTGGTTGCAGCTTGGCATTTACCTTCCATGAACATGGTCTGATTAGTTGGCAACCTGTGATTGGCTGAGTTTGGCTGCTGTGATTGGATGAGACTTCGCTATTTGTTACAAGACTATACTCTTTAAGTTAGGTTGCAGTTTGTTTACATACTACATTGGGTTACAGTTTGCTATGTACAGAGGCAGCTTTAGGCCAAATTTAATTTAATCTAAAATTGCTAATTATTGATGTTTCTTTCTCCTCTTTCTCCTGTGGCCTTATAAAAAGAAGATTGACTGTGGCTAACATTTTTTGTTTCAAATGAACATTTGACTGAATTGATAACATGGTAGGTGATCTCACTTCATTGTGTTGGGGACATTAACTCTTCACCCAGAAGAATGATAAGATTGGGGTAGGAGGGGACTGGGGAGTTGTTCTGCTGGATATTCTCCATTTATTCCTTTGGCATCCATTCTCCATCCTTCTCCACCTTGCCCTGTGCTGCAAGAAGCTGCCTAGATAATATCAGTAGGGCTCCCTTGCCGTCTGAATTTTGGTTGCTTGGTCAATGGGGACAATGACAAGATGAGAGGGAGGGCGGAGAGTGGGGTGAGACTATTCTTTTTCTCCTGGTTCTCCTCTTGCAGGTAATGCAGGCTGGCTGTGTCCCACAACTAAAGTTCCTATGATGCAGCCTCTTGACAGGTCTTTTCATCTCCTGGTTCCAGTAACTTCTTCTTCCCTCGACAGAGCTGCCTGCCCCTCACCAACAGCCCCAAGCTATACACTGTCTCCTGTGGCCGCCCTCTTCTCTTTCCACACCTTTGTAAATAGTCCCTTTTAAACTCTTCTCTAATTACGCCTTTGAATGTACCTTGTATTTGTTAAAGGAAAACTAGACAAATTAAATTTAACAGAATTTAATTGAGGAAACAAACAACTTGTGAAGAGATTCAGAGAGCTCTGAGCCTAAATGTGGGCAAGCAGCATTTATTGACAGAAAACAGAATTGAGGTATAGAATATAGAAACAGCTTCCTTGGTTGCAGCATGGCTTTTGTATATATATACACACACACATATATAGACATATTTATTTATATATATATATATATATATATACACACACAGACACATATTTATTGTATACATTGTATATATGTATATTGTATATATTTATTTATTGTATATGTATATTTATTGTATATATACACACACACATATATATGTATACATATACATATATACACACATATAAATGTGTATACATATACATATATATACACACAAATATATGTATACATATTTATATATGTGTGCATATATATGTATATATGTATATATACACACATATATTTATATATATGTGTATGTGTATGTATATATTACAGTTTCTTTATCTGCTCATTGATTGATGACCATTTGGGCTGGTTCTGCATTTTTGCAATCGTGAATTGCCACTCATCCTTTTAGCTGCTTCTCTTTCAATTGTTTTCATAAAAATTCAACAGATTTTTGTTGATTCACTCTTTTTCTTCAGTTCTGCTTCTGAGTCATGGATAGAGACAAGAGTCATATAATAAGGCCAGAATCTGTTTCTTTTCTTGACTACTCTTTTATTAGGTTGGTGAAAAGCAATTGTGGTTTTTGCCATCAAAAATAATGAAGAAAAGAAACAATCGTTCGCTTCTCTGCATCTCACCGTTGCTGGCTAATTTTTGGCTATATCTTTACAGTTTTAATCCATTTTATAAAATGCTGGGGGAGAAGGCTGGGCACAGTGGCTCATGCCTGTAATCCCAGCCCTTTGGGAGGCTGAGGCGGGCGGATCAGTAGGTCAGGAGTTCGAGACCAGACTGGCCAATATGGTGAAACCTTGTCTCTACTAAAAATACAAAAATTAGCTGGGTGTGGTGCCACACATCTGTAGTCCCAGCTACTCGGGAGGCTGAGGCAGGAGAATCACTCGAACACAGGCGACAGAGATTGCAGTGAGCTGAGATTGTGCCACTGCACTTCAGCCTGGGCAACAGAGCAAGACTTAGTCTCAAAAAGAAAAATACTGGGGGAGAGACATTTTGTGGTCTGGACTTTACTAGCCAGAGTTCTAAACTTCATAGGAAGT